GAGCGGCCGGAGACGCTCCCGGCCGTCCGTCTCGTATGCGAATGCCGCCGAGGTGGGGGACGAGGCCCCTGGAAGGCGCTATGACTTCCTGCCCGATGTGATCAACGGAGTTGCGCAGGGCGACTTGTACCTGGAGGACGATGCGTACTTCCAGGAGCTGCTTGCGAGGTATAAGGAGCTTGTCCCAGCCGGTACGGAGCCTACCGTGCCGCTCGCAAGGCAGCTGCGCGAGCAAATGCGGATACGGGCTGAGCAGCTTGCTGCTGACACACTGAAGCTTCGTGCCGCCGAAGAGCGGGCTGCGGCGCGGGTGGCGGCACTCTACCCCTATGTCGATTCGGCGCCGCTGGGGGTTGCCCTGTGGAGCCTCTCCGTGGAGACCGACGAACAGTTCTGCGCGCTCCTGCGGAGCCACGGGGAGGCACTCGAGAAGAAGGCGGGGTCTGTTCGCGAGACGGAGTCTGCGCTGAACGCGCGTGCGCAAGCGATGGCGAAGGCGTTGCTTGAGGAGGAAGAGGCTCTGGCGACGGCGCTCCCTTTTCTGGGGCGGAGCGTGAAAGGGGTGCCTCTGCGCGAGCTGGCCCTGATGTCCGACACTGTCTTTGCGGAGCTGGCGGAACGGCACGCGCAGGAGGCGTCCTCTGGCGATGCGGCAGGGCGTTCGCGCCTCGAGCAGGACATTCGGGACCAGGCGGGACGCATAGCGCGCGAGGTGCGGGCGGCCCGGCGGCTCTACGCCGTGCGCGGCGAGGACCTGCTGGAGCGCTACCCGTTTCTTCCGGAGGAGCCGGTGCGTGGAGTTCTGCTCGGCGACGTGCGCCCGGTGCAGCAGCCGCCCTTCCGCGAGCTCTCCAACAGGCTGGACGAGCTGCGCCGGGACCCGGCACGCAACGCGGCAGCGATACGCACGATGGAGGAGCAGATGGCCGCGCTGGTGGTGCGGCTGGCCGAGGAGCGCGCGGAGGCGACGAGGAAGACGCAGGAGCAGTTCCCGTTCCTCCCGCGGCGTGTGCTGGGCGTGCGCCTGGGCGACCTTCCGTTGCACGAGGATGACATGCTGGCGCAGCTGGCGCGGCGCCGTTCGCGGCAGCTAAAGTACGCGTCGAACGTAAAGGATGTCAATCACACGGAGGAGGAGATGGTGAAGCGCGCAGAGGAGCTGGCCCGCTCCGCAAAGCTCGTGGAGGCGCACCGCATGAAAGCGAACGAGTACGTGCGCGCCCGCAACCCGTTCCTTGTGTACGAGGACCGCAAGTGTGTCCCCCTAAGTGAGATACCGCTCGCCGGCGATGCCGTGTACCAGGGCCTGTTCCGCGAGCACCTGGCTGCGCTGGCGGACGCAGAGGCGAATGCGGCGCAGATAACCGGGCTGGAGGACGCGCTTCGGTCGCGTGCAGATGAGCTGGCGCTGGGTGAATGCGAGAAAGAGTCGCAGCTGACGATGTACTCATTCCTTGGGACCCACAATGTCCCTGGCTGGTCCGACGCGCTACTGCGGGACGTGGAGTTCCAGCAGCTGCGTAACCGTTACGACGAGCTCAGCAAAGACCCTCAGGGGAACGCCAAGGCACTGCGCGAGCTGGAGGATGCAATGGATGCCCGAGGTAGAGCCGTGGCGGAGGAGTTGCGCACTGCTGAGGCGGGTGAGGCCGCAGGGCAGCCGCTGCACGCGACGCACGCTGGCGTATCCCCGGTCTTGGGGCACATGAAGACGTGCTGGCGGATGCCGCGCGGAGGGGTGCGGCTCCTCCTGGTGGCGCCGTACGGGAACTGGAGACCACCGCCAAGAGCGGCCGGAGACGCTCCCGGCCGTCCGTCTCGTATGCGAATGCCGCCGAGGTGGGGGACGAGGCCCCTGGAAGGCGCTATGACTTCCTGCCCGATGTGATCAACGGAGTTGCGCAGGGCGACTTGTACCTGGAGGACGATGCGTACTTCCAGGAGCTGCTTGCGAGGTATAAGGAGCTTGTCCCAGCCGGTACGGAGCCTACCGTGCCGCTCGCAAGGCAGCTGCGCGAGCAAATGCGGATACGGGCTGAGCAGCTTGCTGCTGACACACTGAAGCTTCGTGCCGCCGAAGAGCGGGCTGCGGCG